GGCAGCTTGTGTTCCTCACACATCATCTAATCTAAGCAAAAAGACCAACTATAAACCGACATCCTCAGCTACACCAAGTCCACACATATAAAAGATTTTTCCCTCTGTGAAGGGTATCTTCACTGCCAAGTGCCAAAGGCACACAGCCATCCTGTGCCTGCACTGATGGCACAGAGAGGGAGGCAGTCACTCAGCTCTCTTCTGCTTGAGTGTCCTTCTGCAGCGCCAGATGCACTTTGCAGCAGGAAGATTTAAAACCCAGTTGCAAAATATACTGCATGCAGCAATGTTAGTTCTGGAAAAAAAACTACAAGCCAAGTCGTTTCTGCACGATCCCAGCAAAAGTAACAACAAAAAGAGATCGGAATTTGCGGTTACAAAAGCAGTGCTTAAGTGCCTGTCAGCCTCATCCCCACAATCCTATCTGCTGTATTGAACTTCAGTTGGAGACAGACATCTGAACTATTCTGCAGTCCCCTCATAGCAAGGCCTTACCTGAAGCACACAGAGCATTCTGAGTTCCAAGCAGAGAGAGAAGAGGGAAGACTCCACGTGAGTGGAGTTCTTCCAGAGAAGAGAGAAGACTCCACGTGTCAGGTTAAAGTGGGAGGGATGGGGAGGATACCTTTTTGCCTTGGCTCGGGATGGTGGTACAGAAGATGCTGCAGGAGAGATACTGGCTGTGCCCCTCATCTCACAGCTCCCCTGCCCTGACTGCAGGCATCCCAAAGGGCCATAAACACCCACGAACACCCTGACTGTGAGTCAGCAGCCCAGCAAAGGGGAGCAAGCAGCTTGAGGGCACCTCTTCTCTCTGCAGCCATTGATTCAACATGAGAGATTAAGCAGCTTTACCACATCCTGGCAATGTGGGGATTAAAATAAAAACAAAACACCACCACAACACCACGTTTGTTTAATCAGGATTTGCACAGCACCAAGATGCTCAGGCGCCAGCAAGCACAGAACAGCATCAGCACACACTGACTGCCATGTGTCAAAATGCACTGCGATGCCCAGAGATCCCAGGAGGGGTTGGGCTGCTCCAGAGCCCCCAGCCCACCCAATCCCCACCCTCACTGGTTCCTGGCACTTGAGGTGCTGGGGATGCAGAGCTCCTCCAGCCACCCTGCCTCTGGGGTGAGCTGCAGCACTCTCTCTCCTTACCTGCTGAGCAATAAGCATGAGGGAGAGGATTTATTGCTTTTTAACAAGTGCCACAGCACATCCATTTCATTAATTTACACAGGAGGCACGGGGAGGGGGGACTGTCTGCTCGATAAATTCTCCCAGCCTATTGCTTTGGAACAAACAACTTCGTGCATTCAGGCTGTGGATGTCACAGCAGAGGCTTTTATCCAAATGAGCTCTGCGTTTGCCATGGAATGACTAAAATACTTCTCAAAAAAAAAAAAAAAAGAGGGTGGGGAGGGAAGGCACTCTACAGAAGGTGACGTATCACTGACACATCGTTTGAACTCCCAGCGGCGTATTAAAAAATAAAAATAAACCCCCTCTGAACTACAGCTGCATCCTCAGTGTGTTATTTTAGCTCCAAGGGAAAGCAGGTCATGACTTTTTCTTCTCTTCCCCCTGCCCAAAGAGGAAAGCACATTGGTTTTCCTGGTGCCCGATGTGGCTGCAGGGTGAGGAAAGGCAGTGGGGTGGCAACCCAGCAGGGACAGGGGGCGCTCCCCAGCTCAGCAGGACTGTGGCCATGCAGACCTGGTCCTGCTGGCATGCCTTCTGCCCTCCCTGAAGGGAAGCTGCCTACCAGCAGGGCTGTAGCAAAGCCAGAGCGAGGTATTTTACCTCCCACTCCACCTCTCCACTTCTACAGAAAGCAAACCAGAGACAAACACCAGCACTCACGCACACCCTTCCCTGCCATCCAGAGGAACATCTCAGACAAACCCACCAGGAACGTTCCTGCAAAGCTCCCTGAGCACCAAATCTGCATTTCAACCGCGCTCTGTTCTCCATGTGCCTCTTGGTAACCAATCCTGTTCTCTCCAGCCCTGCTGCACAGTTTGCACTTCACTGCTAGAAAATGAGCTGCAACCTCAACCTGTAAGTGAGGGGATTGTCATTCCCATTCAGGCCCTGTGCCTCTTCCCCCAGGTCTTCATGGCTGGTGGGCACCACAGCTGCTGTCCTCTGCAACCTCCAAAGGCAAATATTGGAGGTAGAGCTCACAGGTGTTTGTTTAAACTATTGGCAAACACATAGAGCTTATCAGAAAGTGTTTGTTCTGATCTGTTTTGCCATCAGATACAGAGTGAAAGAGAAGGGTTTTGTTAAAAAGCATAGAAAAATACGAGGTTGTTACTGATAATCTGTTTTAAAATTCTCGTATTATAAAAAGACAGAGGATTTTTTTTTTATTTATGAAAAAATATTTTCCAATATTTTTCCACAAGTCTTTCCTCCCCTACATTTCCCATAAATATCAACAGTTCCACTTCCTCCAATTACCACGGTGCTCATCACCACTGCCTCTAAGCACCTCACAAATCTCAATTAACCCTAATCATCCGGGGAGCAGATTAATGACTGTCTTGGACCCAGGCAGAGCAGCACGAGCAATGCCAGCACCCCACACTGACCTCAGTGCTGGAGGAGAGGGGCTGGCTGCCCAGCCTGCTGGCAGAGCTCCTTCAGCTGGAACAGGAAGGCTAATGGCACTTCATTATCCTCACTTATGTATCTTGTTGAGCAGAAAGACAATGCTAAGCCACTCCATCTGATTTTTTCAGGGATATTACAGAGCCTGAACCCAAAATCTAGGTTTTGTACCCAAATTCAATCCTATCAATTTCTCCCCTCCTCTGACATCCCCTATACTGTGGATCTCATCACTACTACTTCATAACTCTTTCTGGGCTGATCTACACAGGACCTAACCTACAACAAACTGCTGTTATTTTGTTCACACAGGTGAGGCCAGGAGCCCAGACCAAGCCCTGCAGTTGGCTGCTATCACACCACCTATAGCACAGGGATGAGAGGCCCAACATCCACTCACTCAGCAGCCATGCAGCTTCTGCAGGAGACCCACAGTGATGTGACCTTGCAGCCATAGAGCAGAGATAGGGCATGCTAACACTGCCTTCAGATCAAACATTACAGGCAGCTTGCTACATCACACACACATAATACTAACATGCATTTAAAAGATGTTCTTACAGAAAGAGGTAATATGGGATTAGGACTACTTGCGTTTTGCCCTACAGCAGCCCTGCCACACAGCTTGTTAAAATCAGAAAGATTAACATGGTGGAAGGGCAATACAGAAATGTAACAGCAAAGGGACTACCACAGAATGGTGTTACAAAGGAAAAGTGCTCACCCACCTCTGAACATCAAGGCTCACAGGGAAAACTCCACATGAGAGGGATCTCCAACCACAGATCCTTCCCCAATGGCAGTCAACCCTTAAATGAGGTCTAAGAGAGGTGCAGCCAGGCTCTACCCCTTCTGGTCACACAGCTGAATTGCCTTCACCTGTGCTCCCAGGGCTGACCGGGTCCTTTCCCCAGGTGCTCAATCAGTGCTTCAGGTCACGACTCAGCAGTTACCACACAGGGCTTCAGGCTCAGAGTTGCAGGCATTCTGCTTTCTGCTTTATTCCCCCACGACCCTCTCAAAAACACCCATTGCCTTACCCTGTCCTGCCACGAGCACAACAGCAGGCAGTGGCTGCAGCCTCATCCACCAGCAAAGACCCCTGTGGACACACAGCCAGCTGAGCCCTTACCTTGCAGCAGCACAAAGCCCAGCCTTAAATAGGAAATTCAGACCCTTTACTGCTAACCATGGCCTCCCATCCTTCCTCCCCTGGTTCACCAAAAATGAGATGCAGCCCAACCAATTAGCTAATGATTAAACCTAACTTCCAGGGCTGGGAGCCTTTCAGGCCCCCATTTGCCAGGCTGAGATGAAGCCCCTTCCCAACAGCACGGTGAGTGCCGATGGGACTGCCCTGCTGTTCCCCTCACCTGCTCAACCCCGAGCTGCAAGCCTCCTGCTTGCTGAGCTCAGAGATTACTCTGCCAGCCAGGAAACCGTGTGAGAGTGGTGGTGAGACCTGAACTGAAAACAAAACTCGAGACAAAAGCATTCAAAGAGGCTGTGAAACGGCTCCGATTAGCAGCAGGCGACAAAGCGGCTTTCAGCCGTGGCACACACCGCCCTCCCTCAGCTGCCGCTGCAGAATGGATTTGTCGAACTCGAGTGCTATGGGGAAAAAATAGAATTTGATCCAAAGAGCAAATCCTACCAACACAGGAGGCTCAGCCCCGCTGCTATCCTCCAGCTGACCCCGGGGATGTTCACTTTTATTTCTCCACTTGGAACGGCGCACGGTGACATCACTTCATTGCCTATGGGAACAAATCAGTGCTTCCCTACTACCCGGCCCGGCAGCAGCGAGCTGTGGGGCAGCGAGACGTGACAGCCCCCAGCAAAAAGCAGAGATGTGTTAATGAGAGATGTCCCTCTGAGTCACAGCACTGCAGGGACCCGCAGTGTACGGTCAGGGCTATCTATCAGCCTTGCTTGGGGACTTCCTTAAGGTCAAGCCCTGCACTTAGAATTGCCCATCTGTGAGCAGAACAAACACTTGGCCACATTTGTGCGCTCAAGCTGGAGATGATTCACTCATAATGACTTTCAGAGGGAAAATTATGTGAGTAATACTTTGAGAAAGAAGGTACGAAAAACACAGGGAGGGAAATTTGTGATGTATTTAATAATTATGAGCGCTCACAGCATCATGATACTCAGACTGCGTTCCCAATTATTGCACCGTGCCGCTCCGGAGCGTGCTAACCCTAAAATGCTCAGCAAATACATTTGTGTCACTCAGTCCTATCAGTGTTTAGAGAATGTCTTGGAGCACACATTAAACACTTCAGCTGCTAAAGCGAGTGTCAGCGCTGTCCCAAGAGCCTCTGAAGTAAATGATGTCGTTAACCACATCATGGGAATACTCGTATTAATCTCCCAGCTCTGTGCAAACCTGCTTTGCGACAGCAGAGCCACAGGTGCTGAAGCTCTTACACTTGGATTTACAGCACTCTGGGACATGGAGCAGGGCTGGGCAGAGGTGGCCCCGTGGGTACGTGCCTGGGGACAGCAGTGGATGCTGTGCTCCCGGCCTCCAGCTGCTCCTCACTCCTTGCCCTGTGTGCCAGACCTTGCTAGCACTGCATGGCACCAGGGCTCCTGATACGGCCGTAATGTAATTTTGCATGTGTTAATTTCATTTCTTGGCTTTGCTTAGTATCAGTTATTATTCTGCTGAGACTGTAAGCAGGAATGGGTGAAGCTGGTTCAGAGAAAACAGCCAAGCCCATGCCTTTCATTTCCCCTCTCTTTCCAGCTGCCGTGACCTTTGCCCATTATTAGAACCAAAATTGAAATCAGCCTGCTCTTTCCGAGCCTCTGAAATACTCAGCTCTGAGTCAAATATATGAAAGCAGGGAACTGATTCAGACCGCCACAAGCTGTTGTTTCAGTTCCACCGTAGAGCAGTTCCAGCACCATCAGCTCTTTTCTTTCCTCTGCAAGCAGTAGAAAGAAACAAGGGAGCAGCCCACAGTCAGGGCTTCCATCCCCAACTGACCCTCTCTGTCCCAGCAGGGCTGGTCTCTGTCCATCGCTGCCCAGTCGGGACCCCAGCACCACACTGCAGCTGAGCCAGACACAGTCCCTTGGTCATAAGCCAGCTGGAGCTTCGTCCCTTGGAGAAGGACAGAAGTCCTACTTGAAGGGCTGCAGCATTCAGTCTCGCTTCAATCTAGCTCGCATCCACCACTACAAAGCACTCGGACATCACTGCAGCTCTGGATGGGGACAAATTGCACTGATGTAAATGCTTTCTCAAGTCTCACCACGCCTCAGAACAGGGGCTTGTGATTGCACAGTGACATTGGTATAGCTACACACATGCACACTTCTCCAGAGCCAAGCCCCCAGGAGAAAGGCTCTGATTTGTGCTCTGAGTCATGGAGTGCCTTGTCCAATTGTTCTTATGCCTGATACTGATCCATATTTTTGTTAAGAGCATAAATGTAGCAGCTGAGCAAGTCACTGGGAAAGCAAGTTTAGGGCTTTTTCCTCAAAGGTGATTTCAAAATATTTTCCAACTCTACCTTCTTTACTGTAAATACACCACCCAGGGCTCCAGGGGCCTTTGGGGTAAGGAGCCTGGTGTTGTAAGGAAGCATCTCCTCTGCCAGATCTGACATTTGAGAAGCTCCTACTTGCAGAACAACACAGGCACCTGTTGTTTGTTTTGGCATCCCGAAATCGCGGTGTTCCCAGCATGCAGGAGCTCAGGGAGAGCTCGAGCACTCAATACTGAAAGATATCATGCTATTTAAATAGAAAAAATCCTCTATGGTTCAGCAAAGATTGCATGGAAATACTACTTTGCAACTGTCAAATAGCTGAGATTCAGGCCCAAAGGTGAAGGAAGTTTTCTGTTCTTGTCTCCATTGGGAGGAGGGCCTGCTTGCCAGGTCTGTGCTGAACAGAGCTGCTGGGAACAGAGGTGGCTCTGGGTCAGGAGAGCTGGGATTTGCTCTGGAGCACCCTCCCACCCAGTCTCATGGAACCCCACCACATAACAGTGGCCCTACCCATTGGCAGGGACTCATCTCCTCTGTTAGGATCTGGGTCACATCACACCAGCTAGGCTGGAACAGCATCTGTGCCAAGGCTTTTTGCACTCTTCCAGAAAAGCAGCAGACCCAGGGATGCTAACTGCAGAGCCGTGCAGGAAATACCAGCCTGCTGCCTTCGCTCTTGGCTTCTCACCTGAAACACCTTTGTTTTGTACAGCCTTTATGCAGAAATTTTTTTCAGACACCCACGACAGTTGTGATTACTCACCTTAATGTTCAGCATTTATCCATATCTATCTCACAGTAGTTAACACACACAAGTCAGCCAGGCTTAGTGAATCCTTGCCCTTTTCTACATTATCGATCTGACATTTCCTCTGCAGTATTTCAACTGAGAATTAAATTAATGCCGTATCCACGGACGTTACCTGGTTCAGACAGACCAGCTGCTCGGACTGGCACACCTTCTGCTAGTCAGTCACAATCTTCCCTTTACTAACCCATGAATTCTTGTTGTTTCTTCAAAGCAGAAGATGCCACTACTGGAAAGCACTGCACCCATCACTCCTGCCACTATTCAACCGACCCCAAAGGAGCTCCGCTCTCCTGGCTCTGTTCCCTTCTTTGCTTCTCCTGCTGTCAGGTTAAACATTAGTTAAACACGGTTTTCATTGTTAAACATTCCATTTTCCCCTTTAGCTTTCATGCCATGGCAATGCCATTGAGGGATCCAGCAGGAAGAACCAGGGACTTCCAGAAAGGCTGCTTGGCCTGGGGAAGAGGTGTCCTCCACATGGACTGCACCGCCTTCCCGGATTTATAAGGCTTTCTTTGGTATTTAATAAAGATAGCTGTTCTGACAATAAAGAGAAACATCTGCTGCCTTGTAAGAGCCTGGCCTGCTTCAGCAGCCTCTCTGCTTCCTTCTTCAGAGAGCAGTTTGGATTGATTAAGACTTGAGCAAATACCTTATGCTTCGATACATCCCTGGCTTTATTGAAATCGTACCTGAAATCTCACAAAAACCCATCAAAACAAAATACTACATTAAATGAAAGTCTGGAGAACACGTGAAAGCCTGAAACATCAAAGAAGTGCTTTCAAGGACAAAGACTCCATCCAAAGGCTTTTAAATTGCTCCAGCTGCAAAGGAGGCCTTCAGACGGGGTCTGCAATGGTGCCGTGCACAGGACAGGGCTTTGCTTATGACTGAGGGCAGTTCCAGTTCATACACTCACAAACTCCATGCAGGTTAACCAGGGCAAGACTCACAGGGTTTGGCTTGTGTTCTGTGCCTAGCCTGAGCGTGAGAGGGGCTGCGTGCTGCCAGACAGCTCAGAGGTGGCACGGGAAGCAGAGGATGCCATAGCATCACAGAACCAGGCTCGGTGCTGGAACAAGATGGGTATTCCATCTATTTGCAGGAACAATAGAAAACACACACACTCTGCACTGATGCCTTTTATCACTTCTAAGGCTCTGAATAGGAATCAGTGCAGACTTGCTGGCTCCAAGCACAAAACTCCTGTAGGTAAGTAAAAATGCCACATAGCAGGGATTGGGACTAGATGACATTAAAGGTCCCTTCCAACTCAAACCAGTCTATGATTTTAAGTACTGCCACAGGTTATTCCTCCATGAAATACCTAAAGAGAAGCTTTTGCTGTAAGATACCACTTGCTTCCTTTCAAGTCCTCTGCTTTGCATTTGTAAGAAAAGCTGTGATAGAAGCCGATAAATGTTAGTGTTGGTAAGTGCGCTGCACTCAGTAAAGCTGTGGGGCACTCAGGCAGATGACTGCTCTTGGCGGAAGCATCTCAACCTGCAGATGAAGCCCAGCCAAGCTGAGGCTTGGGGCTGGTGTGTGCCCTGCTGGGCACAGCTGTGGGGCAGCAGCTGGAGCACAGTGCCTGCAGAGCATGGGCAGCTGCCCAGCCCCAGCACTAACAGCTCTGAACCACCACCTGAATGGCCAATACAGCAAAACAGTCCTCTCTGTTGTGGAGAGAAGGAAATGATGTGCAACACTCCCTCGCACAGCTTAGCTGATGTTTAGAAATAATCCGCCTTACTTCTGCTAAGAAATGAAAAAAAAGCCTTGCCTCCACTCACCCAAATCTTCCAGTTGCGTCAAACCATGTGGTACCCTTTGTGGTGCAGGCAAAATGCAACGCTAGGGATTAGGTCAGGAGCATCCTCACCCTCCATGTTTTATTTCCCAACATCTACCTGGTATGAGCATGAACATTTAAGTCATTCCCCTCCTGTAGTTTAATTGCTGAAATCGCATTACAGGATTGGAGGAGGACACAAAGCACACAAATCAACGCCTAGAAGCATCACGACATCCCCCTGTGATCCACTTCTCTTTGCAAAGAAGAAATCACTCCAGGTCAGCTTCTGCACAGCCACTCATTCAGCCAAGACAAGAGAACTGCTGGAACAAGTAATTGAAGAGTAATATGATGAAAACACAACATTAGTGGTAACAGCTTTTACAGATCAGCTCCTGTACATCAGGATGCACTCAGTACTGCACATTCCCCACTTGCAGTCATTTTCTTGCTACAAAGAGATTTGCTGAAGATTTGAGCCCTAATCAGCATAGTGTAACAGTACCTACAACATTTGTATTTGTATGCTGATCTGCTGTGGTTAGATGAAGGCTTTGGCTCCCAGGGGAATCCACAGCACGGTTTGATCATCCCTGTTCCAAGTAAGTGCACGCTAGTTTGTTACACAGACAGCCTTTGGTTTGCTTTTTAATATCAAAGACAAATAGGCAAGGGCTTGTCAGTGCCCAAGCTGGTGACACCCTTGGCTTCAGAGCCACTTTGCACAGAACACATGAGAAGCCAAGTGTAGAAGTGCAGCACCTATCAACTCGTGCTGCTGTTTCCAACTTACTCAAGGTGAAATAATCAAAGCCAGGAGCCTGAAAGGGAAGAGCACCTGCTACTCCTACAGCCACCATCTCCCTTTTCCTTTATCTTGGGCTTCTGACTCTTTAATCTGTTGTGGAATGTCATTTAATTAAGCATTTCCAGGGTTCACTCTAGGCCATGGGATTATGCAGTAAGCAGGCAGCTCTGGCCTGAAGCGGCGATAATTAAGGCCGCAAAGGACAGCTTGGCACTTTGTCTAATCGGGGAGCCAAAAGAAATATGCCAGAGCTGGTACTAAATATTATCACAGTAGAAGCAAGCATCCCGACTTAGTAGGAATTCTCAGATATCTCCTGATCATACAAGGAACAAAGAGAACCAAAAGTGCATTTTTCAATCCAAAGCAGACCTCGACCCCCAGCTGTGTGGGCAGCTCTGCCATGCCAACCCCTCCTGCTACCAGCAATCAGCGCAGCTGTGCTGACATGGGCAAGTTCTTGATCCCTGCTGGTGGAGCCATCGTGCCACCAGGACAGCTGTGCCCATCCCTGTGCACCACAGAGCCTGACCTCGATGTTGCCTTGCTGAAGCCAAGTGCAGGTCAGGGCTCCAGCTGGTGAGCTGGCACGTCTCCACCAGCTCCAGAGCAGCCGCTTCCGCCAGCAGCAGGCATGGGCTGAGCAGGGCAGCGGGCAGCTGGGTTCCTGCAGCACATGTTGAGCAAGCTGGGGAAAAGAGGAGAAAAAGTGGGCTTCATTCAGCATTGGCTGATATAAGTTTTCTCCTCTAGCATTCCCTTTAGCAGTGGTATTATTACTTTTACTCGAGCGCTTTGATTTCAGCCACAGGAGATGTCACAAATTAGTGTTTACAAAACTTAACACGAGGGGGCTGTCAGTACTTGCTTGGAGATGAGGATTCAGCAGCTGAGACCCCAGTCTGGAGGTAGGAGGAGGGCAGACTTGGAGCAGAGGTAGAACTAAAGGAGCTCAGACTGAAGCAGGGAGGCACACTGCACCACTGCTATGTCCCCACGCCAAAAGGAACAAAGAGAATGGAGCAGAAGGGGCTGGCTGGTCAGATGCAGCTTCTTCTGTGATCCAAGGTCTCAACAGCATTGCTTGTTGGCTGGGACAGCGGTTCCTGGTGGTTTCCTGCCCAGCTGGAAGAAATCTATTTTTCACTTGGGCTAGTTAAAAAGACAATCTGCAGAAGAAATGCAAATCTGACAGTAGCATGACATTAAAAATCCTTCAGTCAGCAGAGAAATACAGTCAACATGAACGCACAGAAGATGCAGGATATCCATGAGAAGCGGGCTCTCCTATGGGGCACCCCAGCACCAACTGCCCCACGCACCATCACGGGGCAAGCACACATTACCAGAACCAACCTAGCAGTGATCCTGGCTGCCTCCAGCAAACAGATTTGTTTTGGTTTGTTTGTGGTTTTTTTTTTTTTTTAAACCAGCACAGACTTCTTTGTGCTGTGAACACCACCTCAGAGCCATGGGTGCAGCGCGTGGCCCCCCATCAGAAACCCCCTCCAACCTTTCAACACGAGCACAAGTTTTGATCTCCACAACTGCATTATCACTGCAGCTCTTTTTAATCAATTCAAGGTACTGATGCTTAAATATCTCCTGCACTGAAAAGCCATTGCTGTTTAGATTTTTTTTTTCCCTTTAAGAAATCATTATAGCATTCTCATAATTACTTATCTTTCAGAGGAAGATAAGACAGACAGCTGCTATTTCAAAGGACACTTTGTGCACATTGCTCGAGCAGTCACGTGTGAAGCAGAGCAGATTCTCTCGAGTTCAGGAACCTCCTTCTCTCCAGCCCTGCATGGCAGCACTGTGCCCAACTCCCACAGCTCTCCCAAGTGGGTCCCTCCCATCCCTGCACCCTATGGTGAAGTTACCAGGAAGAAGCACACCAGAATCCAGGCAAGCATTAACCAACACTTTGTGTTTCAGGACGGTTACTCAGACAGGAGCTTCGAGTCTCATCTCTCACACCCCTCTGCAAAACATGGCCTGCCAGTGATCCCCTGCTATTTCCTCAGAGCCAGAGCTGTTCTTACAACCGATGGAAGTTCTGCCACAGTAGAGAAGAGCAAATGAATAAAAAGAGAAGAAAAGTGGAGGGTGGAGAGAAACCCAGGATCTCACCTGATTGCAATTGTTGTCCCCAACACAGCACAGTGATTTCCCACCACTTACAATTTAAAGAAACTCCTAATGCAATTCCACTGCTAAAGCTGGTACTTAATAACACAAAGACTCCCTGATGCCGTTAGCACAGCTGGACTGCCAGTTCTGAAATGTCAGCTTTCTTCCCTGTGCTGCAGAAGCTCTACTGTTAATTTTGACATCTGTTTTTTAGTGAGATGTATTTCTTGCAGAGCAAATGCACACTGACAAATCTGGGGCCCTCTGTGTATTTTGGTAAATTGCAATCCATTATGAATATATATCTTCCTATAATGAAATGTTAGCTTTGCTGCTGTAATGCAAGCTGTCCAACTATCTGGTGGGAACATTTAACAACAATAATAATATTTTTACTGAGGATAACACCACTACCTCATTTAGGCAGCCCTGGTGCGCTCTCCTGGAGCAGTTTCCCCTGATATATTAACAGTTTAACAGCACACAGGTGAAAGCAGCTAGGTGATAGTTACATAAAACACTGCCCTGGCAGCTCAGAGCCTCCCTGCAGAGGAGGCAGAACAGCACACGTCTGCTGTAGTTCTCCCTTGCTGATAGCCAATGTTGTGCACCACAGCCATCCTAAAAGGGCACAGATTTGTTGCTGTGCCGCTCACCTCTGGATGCATTTTGAGGGCTTAGGAGGGTAGTGATAGGTATGGTGAGCATATCCTTCCTGCAGGAAAAGGACAAAATGCTCTGCGTTCAGATTCAGACCTGACTTCACCCAAGGTCTGTTTGCTACAGTGGCTCTGCTCAAGTTGAGCTCAGATGGGTATCCACTCAGTCACCTCCTGTCAACAGGACAACCTTCCACGGGCCCTCATGGCAGCATGGCCACCCTTGTTCCCCACACTGGCGCTGAGGTTTCCCAGCATCTCCCACCAGCTCTGGAACCAGGCAATGAGGAACCTCCCCAGCAGGCCACATGCAGAATGCACACCGTCACATTCAGCTTTGCATGGCTGCCTCTGCCATGTTGCAGGTTCTCATTTCTTCCAAATTACTCACCACACTTTGCACTAACACAATCTGGAGTGATATCCAGCTTGTCTCAGTATTCCAAGCATTGAAATCTAGGGGGAGTCAGGACCTGGCTTTTAATCTCAAATTGATATCCAGCTACTAAAGCAGTACTAAAAATCCTACATAAAAATCAGTTTACATCATCTACGTAACAATCAGAAAGAACAATGTGCAGATACAGGAGCTGTAACGACAAAGGGACTAACATGATGGAAAGGGACTACAAAGGAAAAGGGAAGTGCTCACCCACCTCTGAACATCAAGGCTCACAGGGAAAACTCCACAAAAGAGGGATCTCCAACCACAGACCCTTCCCCCGTGGCAATCAGCCCTTAAATGAGGTCTAAGAGAGGTGCAGCCTGGCTCTACCCCTTCTGGTCACACAGCTGAATTGCTTTCACCTGTGCTCCCAGGGCTGACCGGGTCCTTTCCCCAGGTGCTCAATCAGTGCTTCAGGTCACGACTCAGCAGTTACAACACAGTGTTATTACGGGGGATTCATCATCACACTATTCCACTGCACAATGCCTTTCTATGTGTTTGTGCTGCGTGCTTAAGGGCTTCTTCCTCGAGATGCAAAGCTCCCAGCTGAACGCCTTCACCGGCACTGAGGATCTGGATCAGACCCAGAGAGCAGAAGAGAATATTGGTTCCTAACTTTCCTATTTGAGCGTGACGTGCCCCCAGGCTTGCTGCTTGTCTTAGCAGAAGCATTATCTCCTGTTTAGGCATGACAATATTTGTCAAGTGAAATGCTCATTAGTCCGCTGTGTGGTCAGGCTGGCAGTGTATAAACACTCCGAAAGATCAGGTGGGGACTAAAGGTCTGCTTTTCGTAGTCAATTATAGCCATCAACGTTAATGATGCCACCACGGAGAGCCATGCAGGAAGAGAAGTGCTTCTCGGCGGTGAGGCTTGACAGCGTACCTGGGCTGCGAGGAACCGGCGATGAAAACGTAGTGTGCACCTCCAGCCTTCATCTCACCCTCTCAGTGATTCATTTCAAGAACAGTCTAGTGGCTTTAAAAAAAAAAAAACACAAAACACGGTGAATAAAAGACAAGCTTTCTAACCTCAAGTGCATTCTCATGTATTCTTCAGAATCTGCACTGTTGATGATACTTCAACCTGGTATTTAATCAAAAAGAGAAAAAGCAGCACAGAGGCTGAAAGTTTCCCATCTCTGCCTCTGATGGTACGTTTTCCCAGCAAAGCCTGAGATTTCCCAGCAAAGCCGAGCTTTTTAATGGCATCTGCTTGGAGACAGTGCTTGTCCCACTTACTGCTGGGAAAAACAGGAAGCTTTTTGCCCGTGGAGAATTTCATCATTATTTTAATTATTTTAAAATTATTTTCAAAGTGCAGCTATACTTTTCCAAATCTCTTTCACAAAGAAAAAGGTAACAAAATTTAAAAAAATCAAATCACTTGAATTCTTAGAGAAGCAGGAAGATTTGGGGTTACTCAAAAACTGGTTCTCAAGGTGAAGGAAATCCCTGCTGCAAAACTGGTCACATGAGAGTCACCCCACGTGGCAGCATCCCATATAGTGCCAAGGGAGGAGAGGAGGAGCACTCCCCTATGCTCCGTCCCATCGAAGGGCAAACTTCAGGAAAAGCCTCATCATGAAAGAAAGCAGAAATAGCACGCAGTTCTGAAATTCTGGTACAGTTCCCCATCCTGCTATAAATACAACGGAGCGTGAGACAGCAAGAGCGTGTCCTGAAACCCCACTGAAATCTGGCACGTGTGTCACCGTCCCTATAAATGCCATCCAGGTAAGAATGGATGCTCCCAGTTAAAAACTAAACTCCAAAATGCATTTTTCAACTCTTCCCTAAAGAGGAAGTTTCTTAAGCACGTGCTTAATTTTAAGCAGAACCATGAAGAACATGTATTTCAGTTTAGGAACCGATTTACTGCTTTGCTAAGGAGGAATGCTTTGATCAGAGTCATCATTTGCTTAGCCCATGGCCATTGATTTCAATTTAATTGGCATCCATCATCTTTGCAAATGCAGCGGAATAGAGCACCAATATTATGGTCTATGACATACTCCATTCCTTTAATTGCATTTGCTGGCCAAAACAGGACCCAACATGTAAGGTTATTTATGCACTCGTCCACAGAGCGGATTGCACAGCAAACAGCAGCATTCAATGTTTGATGCATTCCGTAAAAAGAAAGCCACGTTCTCTGTAAGAGAGGTGCAGCTCAGGCAGTAATTCAAACTCTCAGCATCCATGAAATCCTGCAATCCATTTACGCCTGCTTTGTACAAGTGATGTTTGCGTGGTGGTCTAAAGCCTTTTCTTTTTCTCTTTTCCTTTCCAGCAAGTGCTCTTGTACTTACCAGGGCACTTACAGTATTATTTAGGTTGCTGCCTGCGATATTTTCAAGCTACTAGAAGACAGTTTCTTCGACATTTTCATAATGTTTTGAAATGCTGATGAGGATTTAGCATTAAAATTAATGGCAGCCAGCCGTGGTCTTTCAGATGTGAAAGACTGCACAGTATTTTCTGAGGAAAAAAGAGAGGGGGGAGAAGAATGGAGATATAAATAGCCAGTCTTGCTTTTCTCCAGGCAGGATCCTTTTAATCATGTAAAATAGATTTTAAAGATTAAAGACTCTAGGCTCTGTTCTGCCTTTGCTCATGACTCGTATCACAATTTTTTTGTATGTAATTTGAATGAAAAAGGACACACATGGCGTTTCCATTTGCATTACCCCAAACTGGAATTTCCCCCCGAAGGACGGAGCCCCTTCCTCCTCTGCAGTGAGGGGAGAGCCACGCACACCTCAAATCATCACCCCGCTTCTGAGGCCCGGACCTTCCATTTTCAGAGATTCAATTCAGAGCTACGTCTTAGATGTAGAAAAAGAGACAGAAGAATTACTGGTCCAGCAGCTCCGTCTGTATATGCATGAGCTGCAGTCCCAGTTTCCATCCAGACATCAGAGCGCTGATGGAAATCCTGCGCTCACTGGGACGGGAGCGGATGGAGGCAGGCAGTGCCTGGGGCTTCCTCAGGGCTGCAGTGGGTTCTGCAAGCTGCAAGACAGCCGCTTGTTGGAGCCTCTGCTGCACCAGAGAGCAGGCAGCCCTCCTTGTGGGACCACTGGGAGCCAGCAGTGCTGAGCAGGTATTCTTCCCGCTAGGTATTGCTTCAGAATAGCAGGGAAGCAAAGGATGCTGTCAGACACAGATACATCTTCCAGTGGCATTCGGGATTCACCTCGAACCTTTCTGGCCAAAGCTGAGACTGGTTTCTGGTGGGCTTCATTTCCAAGGCTTTGAGGAGCAGAGCTTGCTGTTCTCAAGGCAAATGAGAATATATAAGGAAAGATAAGAGCAGAAAGGCAGCGTTTGGATATCAGGAACTGTCTCGGTTCTTAACAGCAGCTTTCCAGGGACAGCATGGCCTGAATGAAAATAAATATGTGCAACCTTCCTACAAGAAAATAAAACACTTCTGTAATTGCAACAGCTCTGCCTTGGCAGCCCTGGAAATGCAGCTGACAAAGCACAGCGTGGGCAGTATCAGAGCATCCTCCCACGTGTGCCTGCAGCCCTGAACATAAGCAGGGCTAAGGGCAGTTTGCTCCCCCCTGCCCTGGGCTGGCAGACCGCCGTGCCCTCAGTCAGTTCCCTCTGCTGTGCTGCACCCATCCATGAGGAGCTGACCCAGAACCACAGTCCTTGCTGTGCAGATAGCACACATCTCCGCTCCCTCGCAGACTGCAGATCTGTTTCAAGGTCCTGACCCGAGTTTTTAAAGCCCTTAATAGGCGACAGCCTAATGAACCTTGGAGACAGCCTCTTAGTCTGCAATCCAAAGCAACAGCTGGGACTGCTCAGGGCAAGCAGGGCTGGCTGGGCTTGAGGCAAGGCCTTCCTCGCTCTCTGCACCAACCCTCTTGCTGCCCATGTCCCAGCTCTGCCTTTTACCATCTGTAACACAGTCCAGACTGGCACTTCAGACCTGCCGTGGCCTTCTTTACTATTGCTGCTGCAAGAGATTGGTTAAATGTTGGCACAAGGCAAGGAGAACTGGAATTTTAGGAATAAACACTTCTCCAGACTTTTGCAGAAAGCAGCCATGGAGACACCATGCTTCCAGGAGTACGGAGACAAGGGTCCTGTTCAAGCTGTATGAAGGCAGGGTTGGGAGAGACCTTGTTGGCAAGTGGATCATCCCTGCTAGTGAGCAGAGCACAGCCACCAGAGCCCTGAAGGAACAGCCCTGGAGTTGCTGGGACCCACACAGCCTGTGTTCAGGAGTCCTCACAGTGTGACCCTTCCAAGCAAGGACTGGCTGAGGCCATGGCAGCTGAAAGCAGAGGCAGCACCAATGCTTCATCCTTAGGAGCAGCACAACATGCAGCTGTAAGAAGACATTCCCCGTCACAGATGCATTAATGCTCGCTAATTTGCTTATCAGCTTCTTCTCACTCCTCCATGTGCAGCCCATGCTCTTCTACCATGCAGCTATGAATAGAACTGCAGAATTAGCCTGCGCCATAACTCCGGCTTGAAAACTCACCCGCATCTCCGTCCTCCTTGCCACACACCATTTAATACTCCAGTATCAACTTTTAAATAGCTCAGAGGCTGAGGAGCTGACAGCAGCAGCTCATTACTCCCACAGCTCTAGCAGCCTCTTCCCGCAGCCTTCCTCCTCCTCGGCAGCCATCCTCTTTGCCCACATCCCCACCCCGGACGCTCCCTGCACACGCACAGCTGCAGCAGGGTGCACATCCCCAGCTCCCACCCAGCTGAAGCCCTCATTGTGCTGAGCAGCTCCTCCCGCTGCTCATCACCCTCCACCTTCAGTTGGTCACTGTGTCCAGCCAGACATTTCATCGGCTTTCACATCCTGCTCTTTTGTAAGCATGTGTGCCTTCAAAAGAATGAGCAGGAATGACTGCAGCCACACCTATACTGGAAATGCCTGTGCAGCGATCTGTAGGCATGTTCACAAAGAAAACCAAAGCTGCAAAGAAGTGAGTATCCATTCGCTTTGAACTTTGCTATCAGGTCCTTTTCTGGACCTGATGCTTTGAAGCACTGAGCTGCCACAGCCCCTGAGGGACCTGAGCATCTCCTCACACACAAATAGAAATCAGGAGTCGCTCTGAATTATGCAGGTGTAACCTCGACGTGACAGAGGGTTCATGGATGCCAGCAGAGACTGGAACAGGTGCCCTTTCATTTTTCACATGGCGATTTTTCATTTTCAGCCACTTGGTTTGCACAGCTACATGAGCACATGCAGCTGCGATGCAGTAGGAGAGGAAGGCTGATATTGAGGGGAAATCACACGCTTAGATCAATGCACGCTGCAGGTATTCAGCTGGAACCAAATGTGTTGGAAGCCATGTAAAC